TGTGTGTGTGTGTGTGTGTGTGTGTGTGTGTATGGTATTCAGCTTTGTTCGGGTATTTTCCCACATCATTATAGTTGTGCTTTTAAAGTTGTAGCAACGTTTCGGCAGAATCTCATCTGCAATCATCAGGCTTCTGTATAGTGTTCGAATAACCAAAGATCCACATACAAATACCCACGAAAACCTCAGAAAACACACACACACACACACACACACACACACACACGCTATAAGATATAATAACAGAAACTTTCTTTTTTTTTCATCCCTTTTTCATATCCCCTTTTGCAGGAATAGATCACCATTTCTTTCTACTAAGTTATGCATCATTTCCAAATGGAATCTCTTCACTGCTCTACATTATTTTTTATAACTCCTATAGCATTCTCATTATGTAAGAAGCAATATTATCAATCAGCTGATAATATTTTATGAAAAGTGCTGACCTAACCCTTTCTGAAATCATGTTTAGATTCTATTGCTTCAGAACTGTAGTATGTTAAAAATGACATTGGTGTCTTATCTATGAGAAACTAACAATTTTCATCCCTTTTGCTGTGATTTGCCTTTCTTCACTGTTAGATGATTTTCCTTCCTCCTTCCCTCCTCCTTCTCCTTCCTTCCTTCCTTCCTTCCTTCCTTCCTTCCTTCCTTCCTTCCTTCCTTCCTTCCTTCCTTCCTTCCTTCCTTCCTTCCTTTCTTTCTCACATCTCATAATTTCCTCCTCCTAATCTTCATGGAATTAAAATACAGAACTAAAAGCAAATAATCAAGGATCATTGCAGTATTTATTTTTAGCCTTGTGTAATGGAGGAATTCAGTACCTAAACTGTGGTGGGGAGTGGGGAATAATTCCTGCAGACCAAAGGATGCACTCATATTTATATATTTCAAAAAGGAGGGCAAAGTGATCCTTGCATACATATTCATAACAAAAGCATAATAGATCTCAGGATATAGTGGTTTTATAGCTAAGAAGATACAATTGCATCATAAGATTCAGGGATTGTCAGGAGAATGCTCTAATAAAACCACCACAATCCACTGCGAAATACCAGGATATATTAGTTATGTTTCAGTTTGTCTATTAAACAGTCCCATTCATCTGGAAACATATTTTTTTCTACAGAACCACACTCTGATGTCAGCTTTGTCTTCCTCCTAAAATTGATTTTTCTCTTAAATAAACATTTGATATTGCCTCTTTAGCATAGTTGCACACCATTTTAATGTTACCCTGAATTATCAGAGAAAAATTTACCCTCTTTAAAGATCTGACATATCATTTTGATCCTATTAACTATACAATTCTAAAATATTAGCCAAACATTTATATGACTGGTACTTATATAAAGTGATATTTACATTCATTTCATTTTTACCTGCCATGATTGTTGATTTAGAGTCTTGAGTTCCCAAGAATGTCCTCTTTTTCTGCTCTTAGATGAAAGCATGGCTTGCAGTGCATGGGCCACTGCATAGACAGCATTGTAAATGCTATAACTTTGCCCACTTATGCTACTTCTAAACAAAACCTTGGGAAGGGTCTCCAATGTCTCCTCACCAGTGCATTCATTGTCACTGTCCTCATCTAACCCAGCATTTGGAAAAGAGCATTCAAACGCATATTCCCAAAACAGCCTGATCAAACTAGCTTCTTCTTCTTCAGAAGAAGGCTTCCTCATCTGAATAAATTTCTGAAACCCTAACATTTCCTTCGAGGAAACTGCCAACGATAAGGCCCCATGGATGAAGTCCACTCCTCTGGTTCTTTGAAAGGGGATTGATGTGAATTCCATCTGTGCTGGCATTATCCAAACTTTATCTTTTCTCTTCACTGGCGTGTCAACATATTCTGAAACAAATGGAACCATTTTAAGAGCAGCCATGGCCTCATTTTCACAATATATGATCACAACATTGGCAGAACTTCTCATAATGACCTGGTATATCATAAAAAACCCATTAAGTTGAACCTCAATGTCATTGGTAACAGTGTCACTTGGCATTTGTTCTATGAAGTCAAAACAGATGCCTTTTTGAGAAAACATATCAAGCCTATTCTGTATAAAACTCTTTGCTCTTTCAGAGCTTTGGATAATGAGTCCAATCCATTTCCAGTCAAAGTGAAGCAACAATTGGATGATCCCAATAATTTGAAGATCTTCATCTGGAAATAATTGATGGAAGTAAGCAGCTTGTATGTTGTCATCTGTCTCCATAGTAGAACCATATAGGAGCTAAGAAAAAAGAAAGAAACTGGAGCATTTCTTTTCAGATCCAAATATTTATTTGTTTTTAAGGAAGACATTCCTTATCTATATGAAACTTTGGAATAAAAAATAAATCAATCATATCAGAAATATTTTAATAAAAAGCGGGATCAATATACTTTAATTACAATTCTTCTGTTGTTATCCAATATCAACAATACTCTTATATTTTACTTAATAACAAGTAATTCTCGAGGTACGAATATAATGGACTCTGCTAATTCTATTCATAAACTTGAGGATTTGTAGGAATGAATTATCTAACATGACTTCATGTACCCATCTACTTTTGCAGAAAATGGGTGTCTGAAGTCATGCAAGATCACAGCCCCAAGAATCATGTTTTAGTGAATAAATAAATATAATCTTCCATGAAATTAAATTAAATGAGAAAGTGTGGATTTCCTCCATTTTATATTCATATGTACTCACATTAAGAAAGGAATACCTGTGTCTTGCATTTGGTCTATATCTACATTTCACTATACTGAGATGGAGCAAAGTCTGAGGTGAGCTTATTTCATGGTTTTTATTTCAATTTCATATATCACTGTGTACAAGCCACAATTGTTCAAATAAATGTGTTGTTGAAAGGTCTTGACTCCTTTCCTTCTGAGATAGCTCTTACCTGTGGGATCTTGTAAATGCTCAGAATATTTGACATGAAATGTCCAATGTAAGCATTATGTCCTGTAATCACAGATATTACATTGTCTTTGAAATCACACTTGTAGTTTGGTATGAACCTTCCCTTGGTAGAGAGGAACTCCATGGAAGCCAGATAGATCCATCTTGCCAGGTTATAGCTATTGGAGATATGGATACCAAGGGTGATGTTAGGCAAGATCCTGGAATTCTCATTGATTTCTTTGATTGCAAATTCCAAAGCCAAGACGTGCTGGTAGTTTTGCATATACAACCTGAAATGAGTATTAGAGCATCTGTTTCCCAATTTAGCTGCATCCTTATTTATGTTTTTTCTAATTTTATATCACTCATGATTTTACAGCCCACAAGCACTGAAAGGAGGGAGTATATTAACACCAAGCAAGGCATCTCTTTGACTGTTTAATGCAATAGCCTCAAAATTATAGAGCAAAGTTTTATCACAACATATTAAAACATTCTCCCTGGAAGTTAAGCTATAACACTTCACTTTTTATCCATTGGAGATGGCCATAAATAGTGATGATACATTCAGTGGACTGAATACAAAATGAAATAATCATAAATAATTACTTTAAATAATTGAATAATTACTAAAGGGTGCTTCTTTAATTTAGGGATCCTGATTTATTACTATCTTCTATTCTAATATTCTATTCCACCATTTCCAACTTCTCTTTCTTGTTCTTCTTCCTTTTAACTATGTTTCTCAGGTATTTAAAAAGGAAATTCAATTCTCATAGTACTGTACTTTCAAACACCAAATTTAAGAGAGAATTTGATACAATATCTGCATGTAGGACTAATTGCAGTCACATACACTTTCTACAAATGATCACTGTTATTTCCTCGTAGTTTTCCTGATTAATACAACCTGAAAAAGAAACAAACTAAAATGGAACTAATATTTACCTAAAAGTTATCAAGGAGGCTGTTGGAAGCTATTGAAACAGAAATATATACAACTTTACTTTGCATATGAGGAACCACATGATAACTAACAATATTATTAAAAGAAAAAATAATAGTGCAATTTAGGCAATCTGCAATTCATCTCTCACTCTAATTCAAGCATAACACAGATTTTAACTATTTCTGTACTGCATTGCTTAAAACTAATTACATACAGGAAGTCATCAACTAGTTCACTTGATGGATTTCTTGTGAATGTTAATTTCTCAGACATCATGTAAAATAGATAACAAATGCCAGCAATGACCAAATCTTCTGAATGATAATCGTTGTGCTTAATAAGAGGTTGGTCTCCTACAGAACATCTGCCAAGAGCTGCTTCAGATTCTATATAGGAAGACAATATTGTTACAGGTGCAAAGAAAAATATCATCTTGCAGATCAATTTATCTCTCGGCCTCCTGTTTACTCAATGAGAATTAGGCATTTGAAATAGAACAGCCTAACATACATTATTCCATGAGACTACTTTAAAATCAGAGGTGTAAATGGTTTAAAAATGAGAATGAAAGGACTTTGTCCTCCATCAGTACCCTTGGAGAAAGAAGAATATTATACCTTTTTGCTGTTTAACTATATTACTTTTAATAGTTTCCATAACTCCTTAGAGAGGAGAAAATAAGAACACATAATTGATAATGATTGTAGAGATTTAGGCATGTCCCAATTTGTGATACACCGAGAACTGTAACTTGGAATTAAGGAGAAAAATAACAGTGGCCAGGGGATAGAAAGAACTACATGAACAATTTAAAAAGTTTTCCTCTCAAGTATCTAGAATTGGTTTTCCAAATGAGAAATCAGCTGAATTTAAATGGAAATTTCAGTTATGACGAATTAAACAACAGAGTAAATCAAATTAAATTATACTAGGAGTCATGGTGGTATAGTGGTTAGAGTGCAGTTCCACAAGTTTGATCCTGACTGGTTCAAAGTTAACTCAGGGTTCCATCCTTCTGAGTTCAGTAAAATGAGGACCTAGATTGTTGGGACAATATGCTGACATTGTAAACTGCTCAAAGAGTTTTGCAAATCACTGTGGAATGGTATATAAGTCTAAGTATTAGTGTCATTCAGTGCTGGGATTCAAATAATTTAACAACTGGTTCTCTGCCCTAGTGACCAGCTGGTAGGCATGGCTGGATGGTCATGGCCAACTCACGTCAAGGGGCACCTCTCCCAGCCTCTCCTTGCCATACCCAGTCATGTCTCACCCCTCCCAGCCACTCCTTGTCACACTTGGCCTCACCTTGCCTCCCAGCTGCTCACCTCAAAGGTGAGCAGCTTTTACCTCAGCTGCTCACCTCAAAGGCATGAACATATCTATGGTTCTGTAAAAATGTTTTTCACCTTTTTTGACTTTATAATCTGTATCTACATACTATAGAATAGAGGTACTTTCATGGATCACTAAAAGGAGGAAATGGCTCACATGCTTTGTCCAAGAGTATTATAAGTACATCACAAAAAAAAGGGTGTGTGTGTGTGGGGGGAGAAATGTATTTTCCAAAGCTGCAGAAGGCAAAACAAGAAGCAAGGGATGGAAACTGAACAAAGAGACAAGCAACCTAAAACAAAGGAGAAACTTCCTGACAGTGAAAACAACCAATGGAACTTCTTGTCTCCAGAAGTTCTGAGTACTCAATCACTGGAGGTTTCTAAGAAAAGACTGGACAGCCAGTTCTCTGAAATGGTATCCCCCTCAAGGTCCCTTCTAAATGTTATTATCTTATTCTGACACCTTTTGCAGGCCCTCCACTCAGATTTTGGCATCCTCAGTTTTCCTGCCTGAGCAGAGAGTTGGACTAGAAGACTTCCAAAGTCCCTTCCAACTGTTATTTTGTTATTCCTGAGCTAAATATGCTAAGACCCTTATCGGGACCTTATTTTTTTTTTTTTTTGCTCCCTCTGGACTAATGTGTTAAAGAGCTACCTCTAGACATTCATTTTGATAGATTTTTTTAGAAATCTGCAGTTGAAAAATCTTCATGCCTCCATAGCCTGAAGACCCAATTTCATTTGGCATTTAATCCCAATATGATTGCCCTTTTAGCATTTATCTTGACATTTCTCCAAAATGCACCCTCTCCCTCCCTCCCTCTCCCTCTCTTACACACACACACACACTTACACTTTAAGCAAATTCCCTTGTCTTGGAGCCTTTAGAAACATAGGATAGAAAGTACCTTGGTTATCTTCTTGTTCAACCTTTTGCCCCAGGCAGAACTGATACTTACTTGCAGGTTCTCAGACATCCCAGATTGGGCTGCAAGAACTGCAGGCAGTCTTCCCAGCCACACACTTTCTCCTCCTGCTGCCCCCTGAGAGACAGAAGGCCTAACAGAAAGTGCCTGGTTTGGGCACACGACCATCCATGACGGAGCCCTTTCCTGGGAGCAAAGTTTTGGATGACCTGATCTGTCCCAAAGGCCTCAAGTGGCTCCAAAGTTTCCATGTGCCTCCGCTGGCCCAAGCACTTTGCCCTTCAGATCCCAACAAGGCCAGCACATACTACATACTATATAATAGATGTACTTTCATCTGGTGGCGATGCATCTAGAAGGCAAGTGGGCAGACGCCCTAGGGCTGCATGCTGCACCTCATCAAACTGCAATGGAGCAGCAGCCTCTGCTCCAACATGGTGCTGTCCCCCAAAGGCTGCCTGCTCACCCATTGCTAGCTGGGAAGGGCTGGAAGCAGCAATGTCCTCCTAAGGCAGCCTGCGTCTTCGGCCAAGTGCAGTGTATTTGGAGCAGGTCAGCCTTTTTAGTCCGTGGAGTTTGCACCACTCTGCTCACTGCAGCTACCCACAAAGGTAAGGAGGCCAATCGTGGGAGAAGTGGATCTGCTCCAGTCCTGTCACACTCAGCCAAAGGATCACCTCTGGTGGGAGGAGGGATATGGCAAGGCTCAGCTGTCTTTTGGGTCTGGCTTTCAGCTTCTATGGGGACTCCAGGCAACTGCCACCCTCTCACCCTTCCCTCTGCCTCAGGTCCCACGTTGAGTTTTCCTCAGGTCCCACATTGAGCCTGTGATGGGTGACATGCCACTTCCAGGCCAGGCCAGCTGGTAGGTGGATGGGTGAGTGGGCAGCCCTCAGGGGAGAGTGTCATACTGAGGCAGAAGCCACTGCTTCATTGTGGTACAATGAGGTGCATGCGTGCATCCCCGGGACATCCTCCCGCCAGCCAGAAGCATCACCATCGGGCACTGGGTCCATTAGGATCTGAAGGGCAGAGTGCTTTACAGCCTTCCTAGTTCTTTACAGCCCATTCTAGGCAGTTTACAGAGTCAGCATAATGCCCCCAACAATCTTGGTCCTCATTTTACAGATCTTGAAAGGATGGAAGGCTGAATCAACTTTGAGCCGGTCAGAATCGAAATCCTGGAATGAGCAGCAAGTTAGACTTGACAGAGTGTTTGCAGCGTAACTACTATTGTGAGACAACTCAGGAGCAAAACACAGCAAACAGAGGCTTTGTCTTTTAACAGTGGTTTATATCAGGAGTGGGATTCTTCCGGTTCGGGCCAGTTTTCAAGAACTGGATGTTAATCTTACATCCAATTCCATGAACCAGTAGTTTTGAAGACCAGCTGGCCCTGCCTACCCCACCCCAT